TAAATACCATTTTTTTCTTAGCAAAAATTATTGTATTTCTAGGGTACAAGCCTACAAGGTATACCCAAACCCATTAGCATCTTTTTTTTTTTTTTTGACCAAGTAGATGGTTAGGAAATTAGTAGAGTTAATTTGTTAGCAGCTGAAATTTTTTAAGGATAGTAAACGTTCCACCCCCTCATATGAGGTACGCGACTATTAGGTTATAAGTTCGTGAAATTCACGGCGGTAGCAGGACTCGAAACCCTGACCTCCGCCTCACTCAAACCCTAAAGCTTGGACCAACCATTGGGCCTCAGGCCCGGTTGGTCATTCGCATCTCTTTATTAACAATATTTTGATTAGACCTTTATAGCACAGCCTAATACACAGCATGACCTTTTTGCACAGCTTCTACGGCATTTCTAAGGCTTGCCTTTGACCCTTTGGCATACCACTAGCTGTCAACCAAAAATGGGATCTGTACTTGAACAAGCTCAACTATCTCTTCTTCTCTGTCATAAAGCTAGCTAGGTGCCATGAATGTCAAAATTTTCCGTTTCACACAATGCCATCAATTATTCTTCCTACTTTAATTAGGTGGGCCACTACCAGAGACTTGCTAAACATTGCAGTCCAAAATTTTCCAACAAAAAAATAGTAGAATTGGTTCTCACTTTTCATACATGCATGCAATAAAAGAATTCAATGCTTTATGCATTCCCTTGATGTGATTTATTGGTAGTCACTGCAGTCTAATAAAATTACCAACAAATTACATCCCTAATCAATAATCAAATCTTATAAAAAATAAAATATTAAATTAACTTTTAACTTTTAACTATAGTTCTGGTCAAATAAAAAAAACAACAATTCAATGCTTTATGCCCTCATTTATTTCATTGTCAGAGAATCAATTTAATCTTCTGGGCCGATGTTGACCACTAGTAAAGCGTATGTGGATAATTTAATTGATTAGATTTATATACCGTCCTGATATTAATATGTATTTTTAAAACTGTATTTTTATTTTTATTCTTGAAAAAAAAATTTATTAAAAATTTTATAAAATATATACAATCTCAAGTTACAAGTATAGTTGTTTCATGCATTTCACTGGATCTAAAATCCAATATGTAGAATTAAATTTACAATCTTTTGACCTAACCTTTATTCAATGATAATATCTTAAGTGAACAATGCTCAATAATCCTTCCCTCACCTAGTCTTATTGCTGAATACCATGTCATTTCTAGTAAGCCACACTGAGCAAATTACCGCGCCCATCCCAGCCAATTTCCACTTTCTTATCATAAAACAAGGATATGCGTTGGTCAGATTAATGCTTGCTAAAAAGCAGCGCCTAACTGACTATCTATCTGGAGTAACAACAATGAACCCCACAAAAAAACAACCCCTATCATGCTCACATTATTCAAGCTATCACGTTTAAATAGATTTTATTTAGGGAATTTTTTAACCATGCCGATATAGGATTTAAATTAATGATATAATCAGTTATCAGGACGCTGTTGAATACATGTACGCAACAGCCTGACTTTGTTGCGTCAGTGCCACTGGCGCAGTCGTTGTGCCTTCCGTACAATTCAATAATGATTAATCAATAGTTTAACAATGCAATTACTATATTTAAAAAAAAAAAAAAGAATCAGTGAGTAGGGTTAAGTATTTGAAACCGAATTGATGGGTCACTCGCAAATTGAATCGAAAAAATGAATTTGATTTGATTTTAATGATTTTTTATTTTTATTTTTTTGGTTTGATATCAACCAAATATATTTTGGTTTGGTTTCGATTGAATTTTTTAAAAATTAAAAACCAAAATAAGTCTT